CAAAAAATATCTTAATTCAGCAGTTTCTACATTACGCTTTACAACAACCCCACAAATAAGAACCTAACAAAATTTTACCCTAAATAGGTTCTTATATGGATGGTGCATAAAATGAAGATTTTAGCCTAACAGGTTCTTAAACCCCAGGTTCTTATACGCGGGTTATTACTGTATTTCACAACTAACTACACGTAAAAAAATATAAATCATGCTTACGCTTTATATCATAAAGCGCAAAATATGCCGAACTACATAAATGCTGTGAGACACGAGATTATCAGTGTAATGCGTGACTTTGTATGTAATTATAATTTTAATCCATAAAATAACAAATCGATACATAGGATACAAATATATAAGATAAATAGATCTCAATAATCTTAAATCTTAAATCTAATCTTAAATCTTTTATTATTTAATTTATTTGTAATGACTTTGTATCTGATGCGTGACATTTGTAATCGAAGACATCGAGTAGAGACATTAGAATCATCTACGCTCTAAGGAAAACAAAAGTATTTCCCTCGAGAACAGACATTAAGTGTATATTAGTATATTTAATCTTAGTTATCCCATATTGTATGTTATGAGCAGAGACCTCGCCTTTCTACTGACAATTATATTTTGGTACTCATTTTGACACAACTGCACAGGGAACCCGGCTACGGCGGGAGCCTTAGTCAACTGAATAGTTCATATTTTAACAATTCATTACTCTTTCTTTCTGATATGGGTTACCTGGGCTTTATTGGATGACATGTAACAGGAAGCGCTACGTAATACGATTCTTTGCTACCGAAATCATCCTGTAACCAGACAACGGATTGAATTAAAGTAACGCACTCCTTTAGTAACTGTCAACTAGAGAATGGTACTGAGTGAGTGCGTTACTTCAAGAGAAGATCTTAATCATACATGATCATTGCAGGGCGTGCCCACTGGAAACCCGTCTCAGAAAGATTGTTACTTTGTACGCGGATTTTGTACTACTCATGTCTCGCCTTGGCCTGAAACAACGCTCTTCGACTGTCCCATATCCCTGACCCTCATAGGTAGTAACGGTGCTTCTTCCCAGGGACTGTGATATTCGCGTGCCGGATCACGGCCAAAGCATCTTTGTTCTTGGTAGGAAACTTCGTTTTCAACATCACATGGGACGCAAACATCATAACCATCATCGGTAAAACTTGTGCTTCCTGCAAGGGACTGCGATTCTTTGTGTACCACCACAACAGTCTCGTTTGGTTCTTGGTAGAGATCTTTGTTTTCATCAGTAAATTGAAAGCTACCACATTCCTGAACTGTCGCATAACCATCATCGGTAGTACTAGTGCTTCTTCCCAGGGACTGTGATTCTTCGCGTGCCGGATCACGGCCAAAGCATCTCTGTTCTTTGTAGGGAACTACGTTTTCAACATCACATGGGACGCAAACATCATAACCATCATCGGTAAAACTTGTGCTTCCTGCAAGGGACTGCGATTCTTTGTGTACCACCACAACAGTCTCGTTTGGTTCTTGGTAGAGATCTTTGTTTTCATCAGTAAATTGAACGCTACCACATTCCTGAACTGTCGCATAACCATCATCGGTAGTACTAGTGCTTCTTCCCAGGGACTGTGGTTCTTCGCGTTCCACAACAACAGCGTCTATTGGTTCTTGGTAGGGATCGTTGTTTTCAGCAGTAATCGCAGCGCCAAAAGCTCGCCTTAGCTTTATAACAAATTCTGTCATAACTGTCGCATAATCATCGTGAATGCGAATTGTTGGCGCTGCGTCTGTGAGTGAAAGTGTAACGTTGGATTAACAAAAATTTTTAAGGAAAACAGACACCCCAACCAACGTTAATAACGTCAAAAAATGAAAGACATTAACAGAGACGGTCATAATGCAAAATCACAATACTGAACAAAAGACGCGCGTACACTGAAAAAGTGTCATTGATGCAAGCAATAATTCATAGACGCGATAAAGAGACTCATTCCCCAGTCCACTCGAGCTCTCTGAGAGGAAATATAGGGCAAAATGATTATAAAATAGATACAGTAAAATAAAGTAACCCTAAGGTCATGACACGTACCTTTTTTTGCACCAGCCATTTTTCTTTTCAAGATTGCGATGACAAAAAGCACGGCAATGAGTATACAGCAGCTTATTACAGTATAAGTGATCCACATTTGATCCGTCGTTTGATTCAAGCCTTAAAAGCCGAGATAAAAAAGTGACCAAACTTAAGAAGATAATATTCAACAAAAACAAGATTGCAATCTCAAAGTAATATAACAAAGCCATGTCTGATAATGAGAAATTTCGAATTTCATCTCAAGGTCCCTAGTCTCTTTGGACTGGGGGCTCTGCTGAGTGGCGAACAGTCTTCAAAATTTGTAGCAATTGAAACGCCAAACCCATCCTGTCAGTATAAGCCTCGATCAGAGATTTGGTTGCACAAAAGTTCAAAAGCTCAAAAGTTGTGACGTATTTCCGGGTCCATAAGGACGACATTAGATGCCATAGGGGAATTATATAGGAAAACAAAGAAGCGCGAGGTCATTATCTTGACTTCGAATTTAAAAAAAAAAAAAATCATTTAATTTAATATAAATTGGGCTCCCTGTGGTTAAAGAAAATCGAATTTTTTCATTTCAAAAATTAAGTGTCTGTTTTGTTTTGTGTTATCCTTTTATTATTTCTCGTCCTGATTTCAATTGACCTTAATTAACTAAGGATATGGATAAAGGCCCCTTGCGGCATAATTCCCAATTTGTTGGTCAAACAAAACTTCCCTTTTCTCAAGGATTGAATTATATACTCATCTCAATAAAGTTAGTCATCTGGAATGTGATAAAGCTGAGGCCGGCAAAGATTATGGGTAAATAGATTTTACRTTTGATAACTATTGATGAAGTTGTAATCTCTTTTACCAGCCACAGTTTGTAGAAAGTGTTTAAACATGGTTTTTGCAGGTTTTTGGTGACTAAGTTTTTTGAAATGAGCATATACCCAGCAATACTATATATTATATATGCTATATCGACCTTAAAAGTCGAACGGCACACATACCTTTGTCAGCTGTACTGCAGTTGCGTT